TGTAAGAGTTTTTAATATGTTCTGGGTATAAGATCTTTGTCATCTCTATCTTTATATGTAATGAGTATTGTATTAACATTTTTTCCCTTTCAAATTTATTGATCACATTTTGTAGCTTTGCCTTTCAAATTCCTTAATGGCTTCTGTTATTTATTGATTCAAATCTCTCAACAAATATCTAGATATTTTTAAATTTATTCTTTCCCTACATATATTTTTTTACAGTTAGTGTTTTTCTGTCCTGTCTAAAGAAACTTTTCTCTCCTTAAAATCATGAATATTTTATTTCCTGTATTACTATTGAGAAGCCATATGACTTTTAGCAATTATGCAGTAGTAACTTTTTAAATATCATTACTTTTTTGTGTGAGATAGAGGCCAAGGTTCTTTATGCTTTATTTTCATGCAGTTGTTCAGTTGAAAGTAGCTCTGATGGTGCTGTGATTAAGACATCCATATGGTTTGTAACCAAAAAGGTCATCAGTATGAACCCATGAGCTGCTCCAAGGGAGAAAGATTTAATCTGCAGACCTTATGGGACATTTCTCCTCAGGCCACAGAGCCACCAGGAGTCAGGCTCACCTTGATGGCATTTGGTTTATTCAGTTGACCCAGTACTCTTTGATGAAAAGAGTATCTTTCCCATCGAGTTACTTATGGTTATAGAAGATCAGTCAGCTAGTATGTGTGGGCCTGTTTCTTGACTTGGTTGTGTTCCGAGGATCTGCATCTCTGTCATTATTTCAGTACTCCACTGCCTTGATTACTATGTGGTTTAAAGTCTTTAAGTCAGGAAGTGTGCCACCCACTTTACTTTTTCCTTTTCATATTGCTTTGATTCTCTTAGATGATTGTATTTCTATACACATTTCAGAATTAACTTGCTAGTTTCTCGTGTAAGAACCTACTAGGATCTTGATTTCTTACTGCGTTGAATGAAACAATTAGTTTTGGAAGAACTGCTCTATAAGAATGTAATCTGAACAAAAACATTATGTAACTTGTGAACTTGATAGAACTCTCCATTTTTCTCAGTAACTTGTTTTGGCTGGGAAGGTCTTGTGTGTCTTTCATTAACATTTTCCCTAAGTATTTCATGTTTTCTAACATTATTATATATGTATTATTTTATATTTATTATTTATATGTAGATATAGTATTGCTATTTGTACATTTTCCTTGTATGCTACAACCTCAAGTTTATTAATTAACTTGAGTAGATTTTCAAGGAATTTCTATGAAGATAATTGTGTCTTCTGTGAATTGAGGCAGTATTAGTCTTCCTTTCCAATCTCTTTTATTTTCTTAGCTAGAAATATCCAGTACGACCTTGAATAAAAGTAGAAAATGGGGAAAAACAGATTCCTTGAAAAAGAAAAACAACAAAACAAACAAAAGTGATCTATTACTTATGTAAAAGAGCAAGTTGTATACACAATTCTATGACACAAAGTGTTAGTATTGATTCTATAGGAACTGTTTGGTTCTGTCTTATAAAAGTACTCCATTATTTTTTGTGATAGTTAAAATAGAAGACTCAGAAAACAAGCTCAATCTTTCAATTTCACTAATGTAAAAAAATAAAGAATACTTTCTTTCAAAAAACAAAACAAAAAGTGGAAAGTGGAGAGCCTTGACTTAGTCACAGCCTCAGGGTTTTGGCTTTTTTACCCCCAACCCCCAGTATTAACTGAGTCTTTTGTAGATCTCTGAGGACATTCCCTTTTGTTTCTAGCTTGTTGAAAAGTTTTTATCATTTATTGTTGATTTTTATCCCTTGCTTTTTCTGCATTTGACAAAATTACATGTTTAAATTGTTTGCCAAATGGAACTTTGCATTTATAATGAAAGCCCTCATTAGTTGTAAATTTCATATATAAATACATATACATTTGATTTCATTTCCTGAACTAGTAAGTGTCTTTATCTGGTGGCCTAGGAGTTAAGGAGTTGTGCTATCAACCCAAAAGCAGGTGGTTTATGTCTTACCAGGGGATAAAGATAGGCAGTCACCCGTGTGATTTATAGCCTCGGAAAACCTGTGGGTTAGGAAACTATGAGTTCATTCTCTCTCAAAGACATGGATTGACTTGATACTCATGATCGTGGTTGGCTAGTAATTTTCCTTTCATAGCTCATCTTTATTCTGTTTTTATATCAAAGTTACACTGACTGTTGAACTGAAGAGTTTGCCCACTACTTTTTTTCCGCTGGAAACAATTTCTGTAATAATACAGGGTATCTGTTTATAGTAGATTGGGTAGAACTTACATATAAACCACTTAGACATGGAACTTTTTTTTTGTCCTGTGAGTAGATTATTTTTTTTAAAGTAAAGCAGTCTTTACAATTAATTGGATATGAAGATTTGTGGGAGGAACCAAAGGGGAAGATCATTCTACTTTTCTCAAAAGTTAGATAATAATTGTAGTAACATTATAGCACCAGAGAAGCAAAGAGCAATTTTATCATGTGACTGAAGAATGTCCTTACCTACCAGACCACTAGAGCTCTCTGATCGCAATCTCTGTCCCTGTCAAACACACCACTGTTAAATTCACAGGAAAGTCGAATCTTCACCAAGTAGCAGCACTCAGAAATAAAATACTCTGTCTCTTTGGAATTTTCTTTTTTACTGAAAGAATAACAACGACCTGTATATTATCAGGTGTATAATCCAAATATTATATTTAAAAATATAGTGTATTTTGAAAAGCACTGTAGATAATTAGACCAATCCAAGCATTACTTGCTTATTTCTTTCATTGAAAGTTACGCCAGTGATGCAGACATAAACCCCACTGAATGGCTATTTTATTTTTGAAAGGTGTAATCTTCTCAGATACTCAAATACATGGTACAGTGCAGGGCCCATATAATGCCTCCTACAGACTTCCAAAAAACAGCCTCTACACTGTATTTAACTTAATAACTGATAAAATTTTTGCCTTGTACTAGGAAGGTGTTAGGTATCAAATAGCGTCATTCCCTTTTCTAATCTTCAGAGCTATTATTTCTGCAAAAATAATGTATCTCCTTTTATCACTTATCAGCTGCGGGAAACTTTCTTTTTAAATACTTCTAAGGTATGTTAAGGAGCTCTGGTGGTACAGTGTTAGATATTACATGCTTTCCTTACTGAAAAGCAGATATTACATGCTTTCCTTACTGAAAAGCAAGTGGTTCAAATCCAGCAGTTATTCTGCAGGAGAAAAATGGGCCATCTCCTTCCATAAAGAGTTACAACCTCTAAAAGTCAGAATTAACTTAGTGTCAGGGGATGGGTTAAAGGACTTGAGGCAAATAATCAGCCAGCATTTAGGCAAAGGCAGCTCCATGTTCTTCCAACACAGTGTATCAGTTGCCTTTGAGTCAGTTGCAACTCCTGGCAACCCGGTGCGTTTGTTCCAGAGTACAACTGCTTGGTAAACTTTTCATAAAAGGTTTTTGTTTCTTTAAAAAAAAATTGATATCTTAACAAAAGTTTACAGAAAACTTAAGATTTCCATTCATTTATTATTGCACATTCCCCCCCACCCCCGCAAAAAAAAGCAGGCGTGGCATCCACTTCCGAAATAGCTTGCCTCTAGAAACTCTGTGAACTTGGAGAAAAGATGAAAGTTTTCTGTGTTCAAGACTTGCATTCATAGAGTTGCAATGAGTTCAGAGTCACAATGAGTCATCTATGGCACTTAACAACAACACCCCCTTCCGCCCGCCCCCCCCTTTACTTTTCTCTTTAAAAAGATTAATTGATATGCAGTTTCCTTCTTCCTCTCTCCCCAGTTCACTTGGCTAGTCGTCCTCTTATTCTGGACTATTGTTATGCAAATAATAGCTAATCATAAATTTCTTTTAGACAACTCTTCCCTCATCTATTTCAATGCAGTGTTCATTATTTATCCTCTATTTTCTTAGTTTCCCCCAACCCATGTCAGTCCTGTTTTATAACAGTGGCATTTTACAGTATTTATCCTTTTGTGACTGAGATATTTCACTCAACATAATGTCCTCCAGGGTCACCCATTTTGTATATTTTATTAGTTCCTGTTTTTCAGTGCTGTGTAATACTACATTGTGTGAATATACCACAGCTTCTCTATCCATTCATTTGTTGATGGGCACTTGGGTTGCTTCTCTCTCTTTGCTATTATGAACTAAGAAGCAATAATAGGTTTTACAGCTGTGACCTTTCGGTAGTAAATCATCATGCCTGCCTTCCAAGGTACGTGGGGGTTTGTTTGAACCAGCTCTTTTCTGTAACAGGCTGCACTATCCAGACTTCCAATTGACTGTTTTAAAAAGCCCCACAAAAAACATTGCTGTTGAGTGAGTTCCTAAAGGACCGAGTAGAACTGTCCCATAGAGTTCCCTGAACTATAATCTTTATGGGAACATACTGCTATAAATGTATCTTTCTCTTATAGATAGCCAGAAGGTTCGAACCACCAGCTTTTTAGTTAGCAGCTGAGTGCTTAGTCTGTACCACCAAGGCTACTCAGCATTACTGTTCAAAACTCAAGGAGTCAGAACCGACTCACGCCTGACCCCTCCTGTGGGATTTCCAAGGCTGTGAATCACTTATGAGGAGATTGCCCATCTTTGTCCCAAGGAGTCATTGGTGGAGTCAAACCAGTAGGGAAGCACCCACTTTCGGTCAGCACAGCAACTCTCTAGAGACTCCATCACCAGTTTCCCTAGCATTGCTGTTGTTAGGTGCCATGGAGCTGACTACAGTGCATAATGACCCTATGAACAACAGATCACAACCTTTTCCTATCCTATGTGTCAGCCTTACTATCTCTGACATGCGTGAACTCATCATTACAGTCTTTATGTCAGTCTGTCTTGTTGAGGGTAAAGGGCTTTAAATCATACGAGAAGGAAGCATGAGGACGTGTTCTTTTGTTACTGTTCTTTTTCAGAGAATGTTATTGTGTGAGTCGAAGATCAAAGGGACAACTACATGATCTTTACCTGACATCCTTTTGTTCTTTTAGAGCTCAAGTGGTAAACTAACTGACTTCCTGAGCTTCTACACACTCCCCTCAACAGTCATGCATCACCCAGTCCACAAGAGCCTCAAAGCTGCGTATTCCTTCTACAACATTCACACGGAGACACCCCTCTTAGACCTCATGAATGATGCACTCATTATAGCCAAGCTGGTAAGCAACTCATTGCTTTTTTTTTTAATGACTTCTCAAAATATAGGTAACATCTCACTGTATTTTTTTCTACACAGGTAGAATTCATTTGAGATTTTTTTTTTTATTATTATTGATCATCAATCAAAGGAATAATTTCTTTTAAAATCGTTTGTTTTTAAAATTTTAGTGGCTATTTTCATAATTTTATTGAAACTTTAAAAAATACTTGTACAAATTAGAAACTGCCAACCTTTCGATAAGATTCATAAAACTCATCAGATGAGGTAAATAAATTAGTGTTTTACATTAATTTGTATTACAATGAATAATTAGCAATAAGAGAGGTGTTTTAATATTTCAACTGAATGGACTGACTCTCCATTTAAAATTGAAAACATTCCATTAAAAAAATGCATGTTACTATATTGTGTGCTTTTCCTCTGTGTAAAATTGTCAAATTCTTGCTACTGTTAATCATTTCATTAAAAATTAAAGTGAAACCAGCACTTTGAGGTCATTATTGTAAAAAAATATTTTTCAAGACATCAAGAAAAAGTGTCTTCCAAGTACTAAAGACGTTTTAGAAACTGTTACTTGAGGTTTTTTTAAAAAGTTAACATTTCTCTCAGGTTCTTTGATCCTGTTGCCCATTTTCAACTATTTCCCTCCAAAAAGGACCAGTAATAGATTATTTGTATAAGGTTAATAAAAACCCAAGATATGAAGCCTTAGATGCTTTACATATATTAACATTTTTTTTTTCAAATTAGTGTTAGTAGTAGTTTTATTTTCACTATTAACTACATCAACTATGACAAGTCAACTGAAATTTTCCCCCTGTATCAACTTAAAAACAAAGTGTTTATAGTTTTGGTCCTTTGCTTTTAGCTTCAGGTAAGTCAGAACTCAGAATGCTCAGTTTTAATCCCTGGAGATGGAGCCAATTAGTCAGCTATTGCTTCAAACAGAGACAGAATATTTTTGTTATCTTTTATATTGGCTATTAGTGTTAGCCATCATACTAGACTGTTTTAATTCAGCATCTCTGAATTACTGGCTCCATCAAATCCATTGCTAGTTTTATAAGACTGTGTTGAACTGAATTCTTAAGCTACACTCAATATCAAACCATTAGAATTACATAGAACTCTTAGTAATTTAATATTATACAGAAATACATCATAGAGAAAGTACTGTGGTCCTTCACTGTTTTTAATTTTAAATTCTTTGTACATTGGCAGAAAGGATTTGATGTATTCAATGCACTAGATTTGATGGAAAATAAGACATTCTTGGAAAAACTAAAATTTGGTATAGGAGATGGCAATTTGCAGTATTACTTGTACAACTGGAGGTGTCCAGGAACAGATTCTGAGAAGGTAAGTGAAACTGACTTGGGCTTTGTAAACATAAGGAATACACTTCCTTAGAAAATGGCATGCTTACTTCCCTCTGGATTTTTAAGAGATTTCATTTTGTTTTGAAAAATACAGATCTAATGTACTACATTGTAACTTACCTTTGCTTGCTTACTTATTCTTAATATTCTTTTCTTCCTCCTTTTGTAGGTTGGACTTGTATTACAGTAGATGAATATTTTTATTTCTAGAACTTTCATCATCGTTTATTACTATTCTGTATAATGATTCCTGGAACTGCCATTCCAAAGAAAAGTAAAAGCACAACTTAAGTGAAATTGAAGCAGTTGATAACAATCAGAAAAGATGAGAAAACATCCACCTGTGACCAGTTCTGCACGTTTCTAGCTAGAACGTAAAACTTCCTCCTTTTTTTGCACTGTTTACCCTTTGGGGGAGGGATGAAGGGTACAAAGAGCACATTCCTCTAGTTTTCAGTTCTTGGTTGTCTCTTGATAAGAACTATTTTTCCACTCTTTAGCAAAGGGACTGTTTTTGTATGGACTGCAGAAAAGTTATGGAGTCATGTAAGAAATTCTTTGCTATTGTGTGAAGATAAACGGCTGCATTTCTATTTATTACGTGTCGGTATATTTGTCAGTAACAGAACAAAGGATCCTTTCTGAAATCTTTTACTTAACATGGCGTCACTGGGCAAATTTATGGAATCAACACTTTCGTAATACAAGTGAATACTTAAGTATGGAGCAATAGAAAAATGCACTGATGACCAGTACATATTTATTTCTCCACAAGCAAAGTTGCCAAATCAATACGAACACAAACTTGTTCTTTGATCTTCAAGGATCAGTGAACTGGTTCAAAAGCAAAGTTTTTGTAAAAACATTAAGAATGTCCTCTCAAAGACTACACCCATGACTTTTTCTGCCACTGCTCAAACTTGTTTCTTCTCAGCAACACCGAGGCTATATGAGGAAAAGAAAATAAAGGCTCTAAATGCAAAAGAATGCCCTGTAGAATTTATTAGTGCTATCAGGATGCTGGTCATTTGAATGTTTTTGTTACTTATGCAGAATTGCACATATTCCTTTAATTTATCATGAAAACTGTCATGCTGATGGAAAATGTCTTATCTGTAAATATTCATAATTTTGTTACTGATGGTGTTTTTATCTAGAATTTGAAAGTTTCCCAATGTACATATATGTATATACTGGTAATAGTTCAAGGGGAGAAAAGATGCATAAATGAGGCCTATATGCTGGCCTTGACTCAGATACCATGAAAGTAGATCCTTTTCCCTGCCTTTCCTGTACCAGTGCCTAGGCTCTTCAGTCCAGAAAAAAAATTTTAGACCATGTACTAGCATTTTTTTCATAAATAGTCACTTGAACCAGTCAACACAAGGGGTTGGCAAACCATGGTCCAGAGGCTAAAGATCACTCATTATGTATTTGTACAGCTCACAAGCTAATGAGTGGTTTTCACTTAATGAATGGGAGGCATTTAGCAATCAAATGAGTACACAAACATTTAGTAACATGAAAATTTAACATGAAATTCGAGTTTCAGGGCTTATAGTTCTTTGGAACACAGCCCCATTCAATCGTATATATATTGCCTGTTGGTTTCCTGCTTCAAGTAGAGTTGAATTGCTACAGCAGACTGGTCAACAAAGCCTGAAATCTAAACCATCCAGCTCTTTACATAAGTTTGTTGACACTGGATTTCCACTAGACCTTAAGTGGAAGGCTACTTTTCCAGCTGCCATTATCCTAAAGACTAGTCCACAGTTTGTGAGAGCCAAGCCGATTTGGGGATCCCAGCAACTACCACTAGAGGGTCACCTGCACCACGGAGTAGTGTTAGGATTAGGTAAGGACACAGGACCAGGACAGTCAGTTCACTTTCCTGAGGCCCCTATAGAAGACTTCTAGGGGTGGTCCAAATTCAAGTGTCTTACTATTCTCCAACAGAGAAAGATCCAAAAAAAAAAAACCTGAACCAACCCACTGGAACATTAAGACACCAGCATTAAATAGAGGTGATTTTTACTTACTTTGGAACAGGCTTTTGCTAGGAACTATGTCCCACTCATTTTTCTAACAAATTCCTTTCATATAAAGTAGGTTTTATATAATTGCAGAATTGTCCACTTGTCATGTGCTTGCCCTAATGATGAAACAGTTCCTTAGAAGATGCACAAAATTCAACTTGTTTCAGGATTTATTCCTTTACGGAATTATCTTCACATATATAATAAATGAGATACTTGGCTGTATAACTTAAGCAGATTACTAACAAGCAGTTTCAAATAGAGAACTGGTAAAGCTGCTTGTTTTATAAGGTAGCAACTAAAAATGTAATACAGTGTTTTAAAGACTCAAAAGACATTATTCTGTACTCTGTAACCAAAATACTTAACGGTATGACCACCTCCTTCCCCAAATGGAACAAAATCAATTATAATCTATGAGTTGACCAGAATTGAGGTGGACAATTTTGCCAATCCTGCATTTGCCCCCTTAATTATAGAAGGTAACTTACTGTTCTAGCGTGCTCCATTTTTTGACTAGGACACCTACTGTATCATTGACCAGTCCCATCTCTGAGAATCCAGACTCTTAATTTGCCTCACTGTCATTAATATATTATTAGATTGCCAAGAAGTTAATCATACAAAGGAGTGCATTCTAATTAGCTGAAATATATCATGACTTTTTCTATATATATATTAAGCCTTTCTCCCAAGTGTGTGCCTACTTACAAGTAAAGTCAAATTGACATGAAATAAAAAGGATGTTTGAAGACAGCATCTTCTTTAGTAACGCTCCTTGAAAGTTGGTAATGCATTTCCAATACAGGTTCACTTATCCTATTAACTAAAACCAGGTGGTGGTACATTTTTCAAGTTTGGTAGAAAGATGCCAAGTATTACAGAATACAGATGTTTTTGCTTACATTGTACCAACCTTTAAAAGAGTTTATACAAGCATGAACCTTAATTTCAATAAACTTTTGTTCTGATACTCACTTTGAGTACTTTCTGCACTTAGCATTTTTAAACCTCAGCATAGCTATGTTCTACAAAGAGTCAAATGAAAATTACTCAACAGTACGCTGAGAACATATGGAAAAGTTCCTCATTTTATTTATAATTTCAAGGTTTTTTTTAAACAGGTGTCAGTTTATAAATGACATAAAATTACAAATTCATACAAATTTACTTGGAAGCTGTTTTTTTACTTTTAGGTAATTTCCTTATCTTATTAGGGTTTGGAATGAGTTTCTTTATTTTCAGGGGTTGTAATGCTACTGTAGAAGCTTGCTGGCCCTCAGCTAGCTTCCTCTTACATTTAGAGAGGTCTTCAAATGAAGTTTCCATAATCTCTCTGTCTTCCCTTTCCAGAGATTCGGCTTCTAGATTTTCCCTCAAGTCTTCAATTCTTTCTGGAAGCCATGGTACATTTAAACTGGGTACCCTGGGAATTATAGCTTTTATTTCATCAACAAAGTCAGTGGCATTCTTTTTAAACCCCAAGGCTAGGACACATTTTAAGCCAATGGCAGGTGCAATTCTTTCACTGAGACGGGGAACCTGGCAAGCAGGCACAGTTCTGCTTACACTTAACTGAATCAAGTGTGAGGTGATGACGGCAGGCTTGACTGACTTACATACGAGGACTAAGAGAAGGTCATTCCTTTCCAGGGCTCTGGTCACTTCATTAACGCCAATGGCAAGCTGCTGCCTGGCGTCCACGGGGGTCCACCCTGACACCTTTTGGTTATCATCTGGTTTTCTCTCTTTCAGATCTTCATTAATACCAACATCCATGTCACATTTTTCTCTCATTTGTTTTTTGAAAGACAGCTGTTTTTTCTTTCTCCTCTTATCCTCAATCTTCTGGAGCCCGATACTTTTAAATCTGTCTTCAAGTGTCTGTAATATGAAGTGCATATCTTCCCGCTCAAGAGTGCTCCAGGCAACTGTATATGGGTTGTTCAGTGATGTTTTTACAACTAAAGGTCTTGTCTTCCGCACAGACCCCTTCGCTGGTGCTCGAGGAGCTGCAGCCATTCTGAAAACCCTTCAAAGAGAAGGAAAACAAAGGAAAAATTAATGTTCATTAGAACTGCATGTCTTAATAACATCATGGTTGTACTCTGACTTGATCAGCTGTAGTAAGCCTAATTATATAGGCTTAATTACGTGACCATGCACTTGACTTTTAAGATTAAGTAATTTTATTCTAGCCCCCATTTTCTTATACTGTCTTCTATTCCAATATAGGCCATAAATGAATGTTTTGCATTACTGAAATTGGTGAAATTCTATTTGTTTATTTCATTCATTAAAAATGTTCTGTGTTTCTACTTTGTTTATAATTACCCTCTTAATGACTATATGGCATTAATCTTAAAGATGCACTACTATTTTTTATTGTCTAGTTGGGACATTCATTTAACAATCACTAGAGCACTTAAAATGGGTACAATGGGTAGGAGGCAGGCAGAGGGCAGACACCAGGCCTGCATGAAGCTCACAGATGGAGGGCCACAGAGGCATTTGTTACTGTGAGGTGCTGTAGACCCGGTTTCAACTCTGTGAGCTTAACTGACAGTAGAACTGACCCACAGAGTTTTCTAGGCCACACTCCACAGGGGCAGATTGCAGCTCTTTCTCCTGCAGACCCACTGAGTGCTTTAATATCGGTACCAGCAGGGCTCTAGGTACCTTCTTCTTGTTATGTACCGTCGAGTCAGAACCAACCCATAGCTGACCCTCCTGTGGGTTTTCAGTTAATCACATAGGAAGAGACTGCCCATCCTTCTGTGGAGCATCTGGAAGGCCTTGACCCACGTGCCTTCTGGACTGCAGTGCAGCTTCCTGCCACTAGGCCACCAGAGCTCCTGAGCCATACACAATTATTCAGGTGTGTTTTTAAAACAATGGAGGAGTAATGTATATATATGAACCAAAAGTCAAGTATTCTCATTTTGTGTAAATAAATCTCTCCTGGATGCCAGGTCATCTCCACAATGCAATCTCCTGTGTGAGTAACTGCCTCTGGAAACCTGTCAGTCAGCTATGAGTTGGCTCCCACTCAATGGAACACAAAGACAAAGGGGAACTAAAAAGAGATTCTAACGGATGAGAATGTCCAACCACTCAGTCTGGAAAGTGTGCTCTGATGATCCATCCCAGCGTCAAATGCATGCACCATTTCAACCATCTTCCACTTTATTTTAGGGACCCACTTGGCAGAAGCAAAGGTTAAACATGCTGGCCTGGAAAAGTCTAACGTTTGGGAACAGTCCCTTCTGAGGGAACCAGATGGCACATAGTCCTTCATCCTGGATCATTATCCAAGCCATGCCTGCCTCCCCAAAATGCCCATGCAGGAGCAAGGATTAATTCCTGTCCAATTCAACTTCCACTCATGGGACTGGATACTGATGCTGAAAAGTGTCTGGAGTTGGTCAGAAATTACAAAGCACTCACTAATGTAGTTGCTGAATTTCACAGAATACCTAGTATGTGGGTGAGGAAACAGACTCAAAATATCCTGCCCAAAGTCACAATTAGTTTCCCAAATGCAAATTTAAAGCTGTTTCAACCCCAGCTGCACCTGAAAAGTCACTTGTGACTTAAAAACATACAAGGGCTGGTCCTCACCCTAGATTCACTGACTTGGCATCTCTAGGAATGAGGTCAGGGTGTCTATATACTTGTGAAACATTTCCAGAGTAGGAGGCAAGGTATTGCACAGGCTGCTGCTTTTCCCACGTTTAACAGTCCTAAGAAGTGATCACTCAGCCTCTACTGGCTTGGATATCCCTCCTGGTCACTGACAAAAAACCAGATGTCAGCTCTTAGTGGTGGGAAATGAAGCTTCATTTGTTACTCACTGGGTTTGATCTTGGCCAACCTTTGAATTGAAGTGTGTGTGTTGCTGTGATGCTGAGTAGGTTTCAGTGGATATGGATTAGGGAAAAAAGCTTAGTGGCCTACTTCCAAATCCAGCCAGTGACCTCATTGTGTATGAAGTCACCAAGAGTTGGTGTGAACCTGACAACTTAAACCAGGCAGTCCCTCCTCTGCCCTCACACCAGCCTCACTGTGCAGTGCCCTATTCCCCAACGCCTCTACTCTGCTTCCTCACTCTCAGACCGTTCAGGAAAAAGAGTTCATCCAAAACCAATAAATCATTTGGCAGAGGCTGGCATCCAACTAAAGATGGTCAAGAACAAAGAAATGACAGGAGAAAACACAAAGTACAGGCAGCCTGGACTTGGAAAGAGTTCCAGTACAGTCACTATTGTTAAGTCAGTTCTGACATAAGTCGAGTACATCTTTGTTTGTCTTTACAACTAAAGTCTTTTTTTAAAATTTTGCATACAATCATTCATACTATTATTGCCTTTCTTTTATTACCAGTATCCTTCTATAGCTGATCTTTGTCTTTGGGGTTAGAAATATTTTGCACAGAAACTTGGAGATCATGTCAGCAATACAGCAGAACTCCCACCAAATGCTGGCCAGATAATGTATGTGTCCATGCATTCAACACGGGGTCAATACTTAACGATCATGTGCTCTGAAGGATCTGTATTAACTCCTATCTTCAAAATCTAACAAGCTGAATCTTGTCCAATATTCCAAGGGCAAAGTACAGGCAGTCCTGACTTTGGAAACACTTTACCGAGAAACTTACAGATGACATCAGCAAAAAAAATTTATGTCGTACATAATATTAACAGTTAAATTTACCAAAAAAAGAGTCATAGTGTAATTCATTCTATCTCAAATATGTTGTTACATAAAGGACTAACAACTTTGGGGAAAGAGGAGAATGAGCAGCCAGCCCTCTTTCAGGTGCCTTCTGAACTATGATTTGGAGGCCTTTACTTATAGACTCAACCGCAGACACCTTAAGGTAGCATCCAAACGCATTCCCGCTTCCACACCATTTTTATTCCTCCACCATGCACGCACTCTAACAGTCAATCACCAGTTTCTCACATCCATGCCTTTATTCATATCACCTCTGCCTGCAATACCCCTTCTTCCTTTCTTTCTTACTCATTTGTAGATGACCCTCACTGTACATCTGTAAAAGTAAGTGGTGATGTTAGGTGCCATCGATGGATTCCAACTCAAAATGACCCTACCTATATAAAACAGAAAAAAACTGCCCCATCCGTGCCCTCCTCACAATCTCACCCAGCTCACTGGGGGTCATCTTTTTTGCTGACCTTTCTAAGCATGATGTCCCCTTCCAAAGACAGCCTCCAGACCACATACTCAAAGTTTGTGAAAGAGTCCCACAAATTTTACTTCTAAGGAGCTTTCTGGCTGTACTTCTAATACAGATTTGTTTGTACTTTTGGCAGTCCATTGTATATTTAATACTCTCCACCAACACCACAATTCCATGACATACATTCTTCAATCTTCCTTATTCATTATCCAACTCTGGATGCATAGGACATGACTAAAAATATCATGGTTTGCATTAGTAGATTAAATAATAAATACATAAAGCCCTCACTGAGCTGAGTATATGAAAAAAGAAAAGGCCTTCAGGAGAAAGTGACTTTTTATCCTTTATCTCAAGAATGCCAACCAAAGGGAGTGAGACGATGGGAAGCATATTCCACAGATCTGCAGTAAAAGAAATGAAATGATGCCATTTCAAGAGAGGTGGAGAAAGAGTGACAAGGTATTGGGAAAGGCAGGTAAGACCAGAAGGTGAAGACTTCTGCCAGCTTTACAGTAGGAAGCAACTCTTGTTTAAAACAAGTGTAAAATGACTAGAAAGATGTCAGAGGGGGATGCTTTTGTCAAAGATAAGGCAGGCCTGGAAGGGGGCAAGACTAGAGGCAGCAAAGAGGTTGTCCAAGTAGTCCAGCCAAGAATGGGGCACAGAAGGGAAAATGGAATGGCTGCTTGATGAACTCTTTTTTTTTAAAAAAAAAAGAGGTCAACTTTAATCAAATTACAAGAACAACTAAGCTAAGACCTAAGGATGCCCCCCACTTTCTGGCTTTGGTAAATTAAGGGGATGAAAGCACCTATTCTCATTCCCATCAGTTAAACCCTCCTGACTGGCTACTGCCAAACACAACTGGGACCTTAACATCAATTATGCATAAAGACCTGGTCTTTCAGAACACAACATTGGCAGTAAGTTAGAGTTGTGGTGTATGCTGGAATCGATTGCCACACACAGCAACTCAGAGCAGAAAGAAATGTCCCACAGCATTTCCAAGAGGAAACTTATTTCCTCCTGGAAGCAGAACGACTGGTGGATTCAAACTAGACCCTTGTGTTAGCAACACAGCTCTAAGGGTCCTTCCTTTTACTGTTTTAACATAATTGTACCCAGACTATCATCTTCACAATTACTTGCTATGTATCTAAGAGTTGGACAATGACTAAGGATGACAGAAGACAAGTCAATGCCTTTAGGTTTTGCTTCTGGAGAAGAGTACAGAACTTACTATGGACCACCAAGAAAACAAACAGATGTGTCTTGGAGAGGGTGAAACCAAGTTTGTCCTTGGAGGCTAGGATTTTGAAGCTCCATCTCACATACTTTGGGCATGTGGCCAGGAGGGACTGATCCCTGGAGAAGGACATCATGCTCAGAAGGGTTAAGGGACAATACAGGAGAGGAAGACCCAGGATGAAATGGATCGATACAGTAACTGGGACAATGGGGGTTAGTGTGCTGGAAATAGTAAGACTGGCTCAGGACAGGGCAGACTTCAGAGCTGCTGTACACAGACAACTCAACGGCACTTAACAACTGTCAAATTACTGTGGAACAAACAAAATACTGCTGAAGATCATAAAAAAAAATGGTTAGAAGGGTATAAAGAACTGCCAGAAGTTTAAGGAGGGTTTAGAAGAGGCCATGGGATCAGGGATATTACTGCTGAAGTCATATGGATCTTGGCTGAAAGTAGAGACTATCAGAAGAATATCTATTTGTGCTTTACTGTGCAAAGGTATTTGACTATGTGGATCATAACAAACTATGGTTAATCCTGAGAAGAATGGGATTTCCAGAA